AAAAAATTTATTAGGACTATACAGAGGAAAAGCAAAGATGTTGCCAATGACTGGGGAGTCCAGAACCAAGGGTCACAGTCTAAGAATATGGGGTAGCACATTTAGGACCGAAGAAGGAGAAATTTCTTCACTCAAAGGCTGGTGAGCCTTTGGAATTTGACGCTACAGGAAGTGGTTGAGGCTAAAACCTTGAATGTTGAAGAAAGAGGTAGCTTTTGTTCTTTATGCTAAAAGGATTAAAGGACATGGGAGAAAGTGGGAACAGGCTATTGAGTTGGATAAAATCAGCCACAATCATACATGACGGCACAGCAGGCTTGAAGGGCCGAAAGCTGACCACTGCTCTTACTTTTGTGGTGAAGTTGGTGTGTGTAAAAGTGTAAAATTGTAAAATGGGGGACAGCATTGTGTCATCCCTTTAAAAGATGGTGTTTTTACAGTGCTTAGAGATAAAATGGATGTCTGAACAGCAGTTTAAAGTGTAGGCGCACAAAGACGGCATCCAAATTGAAACATTTTGTATCGAACAGCCAAGCAGCATTTTCACCAAGACAACAAGTCTTTTCAAATTTAGCCAATTTAAACCAAGCCCTTAGATACTAAAAATCTATCAAATTTAAATCTGATGTTGTTGACAACATAGAACCAATCAACTGTAAAGAAATTAATAGGTCATCAAGGGTATAAAGAGGGCGGCATTTGGAAAATTGGGAGAATCAACTGCCAAGAAATAACACCTTTTAGCTCTCAGAGAAAGCACCATCTAATTAATTAAAAGTACCACAGCATTTTTAGCTAAAAGTCTTCACTGTGAAAACATCCATGACAACAAGATCAGTGGAAGAAAGACGTTTGTGACTGGAGATCAACAAAAGAAATGCTGGAAAACGTAGAATGTTCCAGAAGAGATTGTCTGTGTGAACTTGGAGAGATTAAGTTTTAAATTTATAGTTGTCTTATTAATTGGGTTTATATAAGTGGGACGTGTTTATTTGAACAGTATTCCAGTAGAATTTAGTTCAGTTGGGGAATCGTTAGTACTTAGGCAGGAGAAATTGTTTGGTTTGTTGGAAGTTCTGTTAATTTGTTCATTGTTAGGGTTAAATAATTAAACTTTTACTTGTTATTTATAAAGTGAACATCAGGAATGTTAAACATCATGCTCACTCAGTGGTGGCTCTGAGCGAGCTGGATTAATGTCGTGGATCTTCCATGTCTAAATAAAAAGGTGACAATGATAGAACACTGGCCTCTGGAGTTATTTCAATGGGATGCCACAAGGACGAGTGCTGGGGCCTCAACTATTTATAATCTATATTAATGACTTGAATGATAGGCCTGAGGGTATAGAAGCCAAATTTGTAGTTAATAGAAAAAAGGTAGATGGGGAAAACATGTTAAGAATTGAATCTTCTCAGAGTTAGGGTGACTCTATGGACCTTTCTTAAAAAAAAAAAAAGGCTGATAGGGACTGGCTGCAGAAATTCCACCCGTTTCAAAAACCTTGCATTTTTGCCATCAGTGGAAGGAGGTAAGGCTCTAGTCGCAGAAGGGAAACTCTACCTCAGCAGGGCCACTTAAAAACTTAGTATGGAGTTCAAACAGATCCCATTTTGGTGTCAACAAATTGACCATGTAAACATAAAAAAAAGTGTTATGTCTGTTTAATTGCTATGATATGAAGGTTAAATTCTTTGCTCTTCAAACATTAAGAAGAAATGCCTGTAGCTGTACTTTTGGCCTTGTCAGGCCATCTCATGTAGGGTAGAAAAGATAAAGCATTAGCATTGTTCATGCAGTTTCAACAAAGCTTTGTTTGTTGGTTACATTTCCCACAAAGCGATTGTCATGAATGTTTGGCCGAGTTTCAAATCAATAATTAAGAGCAAGCGTATGGAGTTCACAGAATGATTGTCGATGTAAAGGATTAGCTACCTTTAATGTGCTGTCTGACTAGATGCTTGTTATAACAGAGATTTAACCAGGTGAATTTAAAAACTAACTGGTTGACACAAATGTATGGTGTATGGGTGAAAACTGTATTAAGTTGTTTTGAAATTTATTTTTTCAATCATCACCATATATGGCTCAAGATCTACCCATGGTGGGTACTGGCCCTAGGACTATAAAGGCAGCAAGGAAGGGTATAAAGCAATGGGGTATGGAAGCAGGTGCAAGGTTGAGCATTTTACAAACAGCAGCTTGTAAAGAATCAAGACAAATTCCTAAAGATCTGAGGCAGGCTGTTAGAAGGCTCACCTAGGCACTTGTCCACCTTCATGATTGCCTACAATCTGCTTCTATGGCTTGACAGGCCCCACACTGACTCTGCACCTGCGGACTAAAATTTCTAAGCACATTTTACTATTACTATAATGTGAACCATGACTTTGGTGGTGATAACATGGCCACAAGAGTCTTCAAAGGAATATGGATAGGTTAACAAGAGTGAGCAAAAGCAAAACCTATTAGGTCTAGTTTAGCATTGGAAAATATAAGCTTGTCCACTTTACAGAAATAGAAAAATAGAATATTACTTAAATAAAGAGCAATTCTGGGTGACTTTGTACTTGAATGTCAAGAAGTTAACATGCAGATACAGCAAGTAATTAGGAAAAGCAAATGTAATTTTGACATTTATTGTAAGGGGATGAATTATAATTGAGAGAGAGCGCGAGAACGGAGAGTGGAGAGAGAGAGAGAGATTTTACTACAGGGTAAAAAGAAAAACAGCGAAATTGCATCTGCAGTATTTCATATAATCTTAATCTCCTTGCTCAATATGGGATACATCTGCATTTCAAAAGAAGATTGCAAGGGTGAAGAGGCTGCTGTATGAAGAAAGGTTAAAGAGATACAGTCTATAGTCATTCAAGTTTAGAAGAAGAATGAGCGGGTCGATGCAGGAGGATATTTCCCATCATGGAGGCATCCAGAACTAGGGGGCATTTTCAAAATAAGGAGTGTCTCATTTATAAATGAGATGAGGAATTTCTTCTCTCAGAAGGTCTTCAAAGAGTGGCAGCAACTGAACACATTTAATGGCCAAAAAGTTACAGTTTTGATCGGCAAGTAAGAGGTTAGGATTGTGGAGGGCAAACGGGAACATGGAGATAAGACCACAATCGAATCAGCCATGATCTTAGTGAGTAGCAGAATATGCTTAAAAGGATCAAACAGCCTCGTCTTGCTCCTACTTATTATGTTATGGTCTCTCTCACCCAAGTAGCAAAACAAAAGGTAAAGTTAGTAACTTTATCTCATAGATATGATTTACAAAAATGTCACGTAACTCTCAGCAATAATATATTCAGCACTTAAATCTTAGACTACTTTATTTCTGCCATGTACATGGACAACATGATTTTTATTTTATTTTGACAGAATGACGGAATAATTAATGTCGTGACATTAATAGTTACAATAAATCTGTACAGAATACTTGTTCAACCTCCACTCAAATAATGCCTTCAGTTTTGTTCACCACATTTGAGGAAGAATGTTGAACATATGGAAAAGAGTACGTCTTTCAGCCCCTCAAACCTGTTACACTGTTCAAATGACATCATGATTGATCAGTAGCCCAACTCCACATTTCTGCCTTTGGCTATTTGCAAAAGACTTTATCTGTCTCAGGTTTAATGTTAAGAACTGATCCAGCATCCACTGCTGTTAGTGGAAGAAAATTTCAAATGTCTATCACCCTTTGTGCACAGAAGCGCTTCTTAACACCTCTCCTGAACAGTATGTCCCCAAGTTCTAGAATCCCCAACCATGGAAATAATTTATCAACCCTGTCTTTTCCTGTTAATAACTTCAATCAGATTACTCCTTAACTTTCTAAACTCGAGAGAAAACAAGCCTAATTTGTATAATCTCTCCTCATAACCTAACTCCTGAAGTCCTGGTATCAATCCTGTAAATCTAAGTTATACTCACTCCAATGTCAATATATCCTTCCTAAGGTGCAGTGCCCAGATCTGTTCACAGGACTCCAAGTGGGGTTTAATCAGGGTTTTGTACAGCTGCAGCTAAAAACTTCTGCATCATTGTACTTTAGTCCTCCAGAAATAAAAGCCAGCATTCCACTAGTTTTCTTGATGAAAATGTCACAAACCAGTGTGGAAAATAAAGGTGTACACACCTGAACCCTCAAGTCTCTATCAACATTCACTTCACACCACCCAGGAAGTATCCTGATCTATCATTTTTCAGTCCAAAATGACTAACTTCACACTTGCCTATACTTAACTCCATCTGCCACAGTTTTGCCCATTCACTTAGTCTGTCAAAATCTCTTCCCCAAATTTGCTGTCATCTACACCGACTACAACGCCACCTAACCTTCTGTCATTATGGAGTTATTAAGAGGATGCAGAAAAGTCATAAGTGATTCCAAGGTTGAGAAACTTCAATTACATGGAAAAATTTTAAACAGTTGGATTGTTCTCCTTGGAGAAAAGAGATGATCGAGGAGCAATTCGATAGAGGTAGTCAATATCATGGGGAGTCTGGGCAGAATAGATAGTGAGAAATCATCTAATTGGTGGAAGGAGCGAGAAACAGAGGGCACAAATCACTAAATTACCCACTAGCAACTTCCTGGGGGAGAAAACTCAACTGGACTCACGATCTAAATACAGTGATTACAAAAGCAAGTCAGAAGCTAGGAGTAATGCTAGTAACTCACCTCCTGACTCCAAAGCCTATGCACCATCGATAAAGGCACGAGTCCCCTCTTTTGCCTGGATGTGTGCAGCTCCAACAACTCTCAAGAAGCCTGACACCAACCAGGACAAAGTAACCTGCTTGATTAGCACCACATCCACAAGTGTCCACTCCCTCCACCACTGACACTCAGTAACAGTTTATATGATCTACAAGATCAGAAACTTGTCTAACAGCCTTAAATACCACTTTCCAAGCTCATGACCGTACCCATCTAGAACAGCAATGGCAGCAGATATACGGGAACACCATCACCTGCAAATTTCAACACCCCCAAAGTCATTCACCATCCTGACTTGGAAATAGAGTCACTGCTCCTTGGTCAGAATCTGAGAATTCCCTCTAAGTATACTGCAGCACATCGGCTGCAGCTATTCCAGAAGGCAGCCCAACACCACCTCAAAGGCAACTTAAATATTGGCAATGAATGCCAGCCAGCCAGCCACCAATGCCTACATCCCACAAGTGATTGAAAAAAAGGCTGAACAGAAACTGTAAAAGGAGGAGACAATCCTACTCAGATTTAGTAGAATCTTCACTTGGATCTTGATATACAATTAAACAGAAATCAAACTGATCTAATAACCTGTTAGCAAAATTAATTAACAAAACATGTGACAATGCCTTTTTTGCACAAAACAAAAAGTAAAATAGCATTTGACGAGATTACTCACCTGTTAAATGGGACATCTTGGAGGATACGGTCACTGCAGAGGGACAACAGACAATTCTTCTGAAGCTAAAACAAGAATGTACTTCAAAATTTATCTTGTGAAAATATTTTTCAGTCAATGAAAATGAAACTTGATTAGATACTTAACATTAAAATTCCTTTGCCAATAATAGGCATTTGAAATAAATTTTGGAAAGTCAAAAGACCACAGCAAGTTAAGTGGATTGGCCACACTAAATTGCCCTGTAGTGTCCAGGGATGTAGAGTTCTGGGTAGGATACTCTTTCTGCATTGTAGGGAGTCTATGACTAGATTCTATGATTTAATGACTTAAAAAACATTGTAGAGGATATCTTCCTTTCCAGGATGAGTCTGTCCCAGTTATGTAGTCTCTTCCGTGACACTTCAACATGAAGGGAGCAATGTGTTTTGGTACTATAATTAATCCTGAAACACTCCACTTCTTGTTGAACATTTACAGTTTATGTGAACATTTCGATTACTGGAGTACTGTGCTTGGCAAATGCAAGATGACTTGTAAATGTCTTTCAAACAATAGTAAGAAGGAATACATTGTGCCCCGAAAAACTGAAAGAGGAGACAGTGACTGGCTAAGGTGCACAGTAAAATGAAAATGACAAGATACATCATGGAATGTCTCTAATACTCAATTGAGCTATGATTTTCCCTCTCCTGCTCAGACTGTCAATCTCTACAGGCACAATCCTGACTTGATCAATGGGCATGACAGAAGCAAGATATTTTTTCTGAACCAATTATACAATATGATCATCTCTGCCTATTCTTGCATCAACAGGCAAGCAAATGTTAATGGGACTGTGTGGAATGGCAGGAGGAGGAGGCAGTGGTTGTAATGATATAATGGCTGAAGAGGATACCATTACCTGTGCAACTTCAAAGGGTCTTGTGTGAACCACACATCAATGCATCTGTCGTTATGCAAGTGTAATGATGGTGTGTACAGAACGCAGTGAGAATTTGAGCACTTGATGCGAGTGTGAGATAGGAAGAGTCTGAGCATTGCAGGCACTCACTTCCAGAGGGCGCTGGTTGATCATTCACCTATGCAGCATCTTCACCAAGTTGCTGCACATACTGAGTGAACAGATGGTGGAGACGTGAGCCTCATTATCAGGATGCATCATGTCTCACTGAATAGAGGCGTATCCTCAGCCGTCATCTGCAGGAAATGATGAGTCTTCGGAGATCCAAAAGACCCTTTTGCTCCTTCTGTTTCCACTGCTGGTCATTTGCACTAAGAGTCCTGCACCCTGCCACTGGTGACATTTTGGTCACTGACTGATAACATAAGAAGATGGAGATGGATGCAGGAGGACATGGCTAACAGCCAGAAGAAGCTCAGAAGTAGTAGAGGAAAGTGTGTTTCTTGGCCCCTACTTCACTTCCTTGGGATAACGTAGATGCAAGACTGACACAAGCTCAGTATATCTTGAAACAGCGTGGCAGATCTTTGCTAGTCGTTGGAGTGGGACCTGAGGGCTGCAGGACTGGGAGGCCATCCTCTACTGCAGCTTCTCAGCCACTGGAACACTCTGGATAAAGTGCACAGCATCATTCTAAGGGTGTTAAGACAGGATATAGCTATGAGCAGGTAAAGTGTATGGTATGGACGTTAAACATCAACCAGGGTGAGAGAACAGGGTTGTACATGCAAGGGAGTGTCAGTCATCATGGCTTTTGGTTGTTGTATTGTGTCATGATGCTGCCAACACTTGCCCATGTGCACAGGGGCCTTTCAAAGATGGCTCAGGCACAAGAGACGCAGATAGATATCAGGGGAGTGTTGAATAGCTCCTGGAATAGCATGTGGTAACATGAAGACAGAAATGGGCACAAGGGATAGAATAGACACAAGGCCGGTAGTTAGTGAGGAGAGTTTAGCGAGATACCCATGAGTGAGATATGCAGCAGCAGTCCTTCAAAAGAACCAAAAACAAGCTTGAAGCAAATAAGTGAAGAGCAGAAAGACAATAAATATATTTGACTGTATTAATCCTAACACTAGTTCTTCAATTTGCACAAGGATGGAGTCTAAACCAAGGGTGCAAATGGTGTTGCTAGAAATCAAGCTAAAAAAGGAAGAAAATTCTGGAAATATTCAGCTAGTTCAGCAACATCTGTCTACAACTTTTCATTAAAACTCCTGACCAACTATGAAAAGTCACTGACCTAAGGAGTAAATGCTTTCTCTCTACAAACAGTACGATTTTGTAGAGAGAACTATGGTAAAACTGCAGCAATGGAAAAGAAAAGAAAAATTCCATTTTCACAAATATTAACAAAACAAATTTTCTGTTTTAACACTGTTCAAAGAATGATTAAATACAAGTCAGGCTTGACATAGCCAGGAATGAATTTAAGACATTCCCCAATAAGTGGTTTCTTCACGGCGGACATTCTGTTCAGCAAGTATATTCCATATTCAAACTCGATGTATCAATTAAGTTGGACAAGCCAACATTTTGTGGAAGAGACTTTTTTTTTTTTAAATTTGGTGGTCAATAGTCTACACTCTAACTTGCCAGTTGTTAAGCTGAAGCAATATTTGCTTTGGTTGAATTAACATAAGGCAAAACTTGAAACAGCTGACTGCATGCAAATGTGAAGTAATGCCGAATTATTAGCCTGTGTTATATTCCATCTCCAACACTTACCTGTTGATGGTTGGGAAAGTGTTCCATGGCTTTCAGTAAGAGACGAGTCACTTCTGTCAAAAGGCGCACAGGCATTCCACCTGCTAAATCCTGCTTTGTCAAATTGAATACACATGCACTAGCAGCGAGCTGAACTGGCAGGTTTGTGGAATGGTTTTTCATTCCCATGACCACAAGCTAAAAATAAGAACAAAAATATACCATAAACTGTAACAATGACCAAATTCTTTATACATGGGGAGGTCAGGATGATTTATTTTAAAAAACTCTCTCCCTGCACCATCCCCTCCCCCCACCAAAAGCACTGTGCAATTTCCTGCTTGGAATACTTTAAAAGTACCTTGCCTTCCAAATTTCCTTTCCAGCAGTATTGTCTGGAGGGTTTATAAACTCAACTGATAAAAGAACCAGTACATTATGTACCAGGATGTATAGACATCTGTAATGGCAATAAACATATTGGTCCACTAAGAGCACAGATGGAGATGCCAGGGTCAGCAGCTAGCCGATCCTTTTTTTAAAATTACCCTTTCTTGTGTTGTCTGCATTCCAGAATCAAATGCTTAAAAAGTCATTTTTATAAATCAGGGTTTGGAATACTGTCTTACTGTGAGAATGGAGGAAATTTATCATACAGGCTGGCATTAGGTAATGCCAATTCTGTTCTTTGCTTTTAATGGCAGAGATTTAAGATTTTTTTTCCATTCGAAGAACGTGGCCCATTAACAATACAAGGCACTTTCAGCAAAAGGAAACCTACACAAACACAGTCAATTGAAAACTACTGCCATGAATCTGGTAGAATGAATTCTGCTTTGCTATTAGCACCACATTGGCTAGTAAGTATGGATTTTGAACCACAGGAAGATGCAGGAATTCTCTCCAAAGCTTATGGAATCCAACTTTCCATTTCTTTTATGTGTGCCACGTGATCTGCATCACCACTCTTAGCGATGAGGAAATAATATATCATTCAATTATAATGGGGTCTTGTATTGCACAAGTACAAGATAATTAATGATTGGCTTCTAGGCCATTTAAATAGGTATCATACATCTACAGGAAAAATTACAGTATCCAGAGTTGGTTTAAATGTAAAATTTACCTTCAGTAGTTCAGGCTGTGGTTTTTCCATACTGTGAGTCAGACTGAAAAGATGAAATAACGCTTCTCTTACAAAAAAGGCCCTTTCACTGTATCGACGAAGAGCTTCAGAAATCTGTATTTCATTTGCTTCACCTGAAACCTTTCACACACAATAATCAAGGATAAAGATATTATAAAAGAACAAAAACAAATTTCTGTAATAACTTTTCTTTCTTCCCCAGCCATGCTTAAATTCTGTAGTAACAGCAATCATACTGGAGCTTATTCTCTCTGTATTAACAGACTGTCAAGATACCTAACATTGTTATCAAAACAGCTGCATATAATGAAAAAAATCTTCAAAGGGAATGATTTAAACGCAAGAAATAAAAGCACAAGTAAGGATTGGTGCCCTTCAAACCTGCTGCCCATTAAAACAGCAAAAGTTGAGGCTTACCAGTTAAAGTCGAAGTTGCACTACTTACTACAACCATTAAAAAGCTGGTCAATTTTAAAAACTGCCATTCCATCTGTCCATATGCATGAACCACACTTGTTAAAAAAAGATGAACTTTCAAAAAATCCCTCTTAAAACAAATAAAGTGCTTCAAAAAATTCTGCAAAGTATATATTTTCTGAAGAAATATTATTTTGCTCCCCAGATCAAACTAGAAAGGATCTTCAAATCTAAGCCCTTGAATGTGCTGTTGTCGTCATCCAAAGCTGTGCCCACCAATTCTATCCTCCTTCCTGACCACTGTCTCAGGTTAAATAGATTTATTTCATCTATGGACTATTATTTAATCCCAAGTTCATCTTCCAATTGCAATTGAGATGGTTATTGTAAAGGCTATCTAGAACACAAACAGCAATTGTTTCTAACGATAATAAATATGCATAGACTTAAGTATTTAGCAATGCCCATTTGTATAAAGAATGTGCTTGCAAGCCAAAAATCCAGTAAAACAACTCTAACGGAAACATATCAGAAGTTCATTTTTCCACCTACATACAATTATATTAACAATATTAATAATAATGGGTCTTGGATGGGAAAGCCACAATCAAAAAGTAAAATTTAATATTGCTAAGAAAAGCATTCTTTCGCTACTTTTTATCCTGCACTCAGCACTTCACAGGAACTTCAACAGCAAAAAGAAAACAATGTTTATACTGTGTGAAAGGAGAATGTCAGTTGGCAAGTGGACTCTGATTTTAAAAAAAAAAGGTAGCACCATGGAGAATGCCCCAGTTAATGATGACTGACTGTTAACCACCAAGAATTATTTAAATTTTAAATAAAAGTGACTCAGATTGGTTAGACATTGTCCCAAGTAGTGAACCACAGAACAGTTATCACCATTTTGTTTTAGACACAGCATGTGTCTATGTTTTGTCTGTAAAAAGCCCTGTATATTAATTTGCGTAGCATCCAGTACACACAAATGCACCAAATTGAAACCCTGACTGACAATTTTAAATTGGTTGTCAGCATAATGCTTCACACACTTGGGATTATGTAGCAATGTGGTCTAGTTATGAAACACATCTAGGCACTGTTCAGAAGTTTGCAAGAATGGGCTGATAGAGTACAGACAATATTGTATACAGCTGAAGGAATATGCTATTTAAATGTGATGTACTAGTCTGTGGAATCCATGGCCTACATACCAAACAACACAAATCAGTCATGTGGAATTTTTAACATGACTTTCCTCCAAAGGCCACAAAAATTATATACGATGATAAAAATTCATGCTTGAGCTGCACAAGTACATTAAAAGAACTATTTCATTTAGACACGATACTAGAAAATTTACAGTGAACCAATCCACTCAAAACGTAGGCTTAATACAGCCTATAAAAATGAAAATTGTTCAATTCCTCAGCACTCACACTACCTTATTTTTGTGAAGGCAGGAAGAACAAGAGAACTTTGGAGCCAGAATATCTGCCAAATACCTCCAGTGACTTCAAATCCCAGTGAATTTACATTGCTGCAATGTCAGAGAGCAAAGAGCACCCCTGCCTCAGAGGCGGATGCTCCAGGTTCAAACCACTCTCTAGGGCTTTTGGGCAGGGAAGATGTGCTTATAACATGGCCAAACAGGTTGAGAATCGACTTATAAATCCTTAACATGCCGTTGGCAAGTTGTATGAGCACATGAAATTGCTGGTCAGTCATATTGTGGAACAAAATTGGATCCTTTACTCCATCCAGCAAAAGTCTTATGCTGCCACAGCAATTAAATATTCCTTGGATGCAGATGGCTGAAGTGGATCATACTGGTGGCAACAACATGGTTTGATTCCAGTTTCAGCTGTGGTGGATTAGAGACCTTTCTCCTTGCCCCACCTATGTTAGACGTCACAGCACTGTAGTTCCCTACAGAAAGGTAGGTTTGAATGTGAAAAACCATCAGCATCTACCAATGCTAAGAAACCAGATAGTGAACATAAAAAGGGTACTACTGACAAACAGCCAGCTGATGTCAAATATGTAGACATGGAATGTTGATCACCTAAATACATTAGTGCAAATTTTGCTCTCCTTTGCACCACAAAATTGCATCTTCAAAATTGCTGGACCCATTCAGCCCATCATGCCTGCACTGGCACCAGTTGCTAGAACCAAATCTTCTGTCTTTTCCCCCCATATTCCTGTGCACCATTTCTATCCAAATCATCCCAAGCCTTCTTGAATGCCTCAACTGAACCTGCTTCTACCACATTTCCAAGCAGTGCATTCCATACCCTAACTACCTGTTCAGTGAAAAACTATTTTTTCTAACTCCGCCCACCCCCCCTCACAGAGTTATAAGCTACATCCTCTGTTTTCCCCTTGAGAGAGTGTAGAACCATTCTTTCAGAATCCACCAGGTAAAGTCCCCCGAGGTTCTTATTTTAACAAGATCATCTGTCATTCTTCTAAACGCCAATAGATACAAATCCAACCAGTCTAATCTTTCCTTTCAAAAAAAAATAATAATAATAATTTTAATAAAAATTTAATGTACTGGAACATCTAATCCAGATGCCATGTTCAAAAAGTGATTCAAAGATAGTAAGAACTGCCGATGCTGGAGTCAGAGATAAGTGTGGAGCTAGAACAACACAGTAGGCCAGGCAGCATCAGAGGAGCAGGAAAGTTGACGTTTCGGGTCAGGACCCTTCTTTGTTTTTCCTCACAAATCAATTTCTTGCTATGTCAGATTTAATACTAAGCTTACTGATGATTCCGATTATGATAGTATTGTTTATTATATAACAATCCGACAAATACTACAAAATGAAGGCTTCTTAAAAAAAAAAATCTGCAAAAATATTTGCCACAAAAACCTTGTAAATCGTAGTTTAACCACCAGAGTGGAGCATGGAGACAAAGTCCTCATAGTCAGAATTCTAAAACTAATGAAAAATTAAGGAAAACCAACCTTTAAGCTCCCTTCTCCAGAAAGGAAGTCAGAATAGCCGGCATCAGTAGCAAGCAAGCCCATGAATTGCATTGTAGGCCGATGCTGTACGAACGCCTGAACGGCTTTATCGGTGATGTGTTTCCTGCCTGAAATATCCAAGGATCGGAGATTAGGTAGAATGTTGGGCAGTTCTAGTAAACGAAGTGCAATGTCCGAAGTAAACTGCTTATCGTCAGAAATGTCTAGATGTTGCAGGAGTGCCAGTTCCTTAATGATTTCCAAAATCTGCGTAGTTGTCATCTTCAGGCATTTGAGGTGGTGCATGGTCAAGGATTTTAGCCTGTCCTTACAGGTCAGAAGTGGTGTGATGTCCGTGACAGAAGTATTTGAAATGTCTAAACTTTCTAACCTTGGAAGAGAGGCAACATCTCTGAGATCATCATTATAGAAGAGAACGTTGGTAACACTTAAAACACGCAGGCCAGTTAACTGGCTGAAACATCGCTCATAAGGGTCTTCCAGAGACAACGTTAATGAATTCAACATAAGACACTGCAGGTACTGTTGATTCCATTTGTTTGTGACTAGTGCATTTACGATGTCGGTTATCGTGATGTCTGCATTTACACCAGAAGCATCCAGATCAATAAGCTTGTGATGGCAGAACGCTTTTCTGAATGCAACTGCTGATAGTTTAGCATTTCGAATACAAGCACGTTTCAAGCGCAGCAGGTCATTCCTACGGAAAATTCCCACAGTCTTTTCATTAAGCACACCTGTTGTGGGAATAGAAAAAAAGAGAGAGGTAGTCATTAGTAAACGTTAAGTTTAGCAAATATGTTTCGCTCAATGTCTAAGAAGGGGAACATTGATGGAATCCAATATATACATCTTGCACAGGACAGGTAATTGAACATTGTTGGAAAATCCCTGACTCAAATAAGTGTCCTTGGCTACATTGTGAGAAATGGAAAAATTTCCAACAAGTTAGCTGACGGGAAAATTGGGCGATACAAATGCCAATTCTGTGTGGTTTACTGCTGTAGACAGATTTTCCTGACAGCCATGTTAAGGGTACTCAATTTTGCTCTAAGGCAGTATTTCATAATTTAACACAAACGGGATGACTTGTTGAATACTTCCAGCAAATCCAAAGATGATTTATTTCAAATTTAACATCTTACACATGTACTGTCTTAGACTGGAAGAAGCTCCCTTTGGAAGCTTCCTTCTATTTTGTTAACCATTCCTCACTGACATTACCATTTCTCTCAATGGTACCATTATTAATTCGCTGTTGTGAAGGTACAGTTAAAACAATAGATGCAACAAATAGAAAGATTGGTACACAATACTTTCAAGTGTACGTTAATTGTTATAAAGAAGCACTGATCATGAATACCATTAATCACTACACATAGGTCTATACTATCTGCAAACAATATAACCATTTGCTATTGCAATCTATCCTTATCAAGTGCTCAGAATCAGCACCAAAATGAACCAGGATGACTTCAGCATAAGTCTCCTGGGTGAGATTTTAGAGTTTTAAAAAAAAAGGCTAAGCAGCTGACTCTAGAGAAATGGAACAAAACTTCACCCATTCATACTGCTTTTATAGACTACATGTTGCACAAATTTGGAGGAGAAATTTAGGTCTTAGATGCTTTTCCTAGTCAGGTGGGATTGGAGGATAAAAATAAATATCTGAAGACAGAAGAAGAAGTACATTGATTGGTCCTTGATTGATTGATTGACAGAAACTGTTATTCTGAACTGCCATCAGGCTCATGCCTAAATGCCTTTTTCCTCTAAACCAACCACACATTCTTTTGCCCTCTTCCCTCACATCCCATCCAACTGTTCTGATATGTCGGCTACTCAGAAGGGGTTGAGGAATTAAAAGTACAAGTAGTTTAACCTATGGTAGGTATGCACATCTTCGCAATCAAACTTTAGTATGTCAAACAACTAGAGTAGCAAATTATCACTGCAACTAATTGCAATGCAGAAATGCACATCTCTTACATGGAACCTTATCCAGTGCTTGCTGCAGCGGGACAAATGAACATAAAAATTAGGAGCAGAAGTCAACCTTCAAGTCTGCTCCGTAATTCAATAAAATCATGGCCAGCCAGTTTGAGTTTAGACTACCACACTCCCATCTGCTCTCAGTAACCTTCTCCACCTTAAAGATATTCACTTACCCCATCTCCGGTGCTTTCTAAGAAAGAGGGTTACAATGTCCCACAACCTTCAGAAAAAAATGAAGTTCTATCTTGGACCTACGAAAGTATCCTTAAATTTTAAAAATATTATCCCCTGGCTCTGGATTCACCCTGAGGAAACATTTTTTCCATGTCCACCACATCTAGAGAATCTTATACACTTCAATTAAGTCACCCCTCATTTTTCTAATGTGCAGTGGAAACAAGCCCAGCCTGCCAACCTATCTCACAAGGCAACCCATTTCTTCAGATATCAATCTAGTAAACCTCCACTGAGCTATCTCCAACATACTTGCATCCACCCTTAAATAAAGGAGACCAAGCCACACAGTATTGGAGATGTGATTTCACAAATGGTCTGCCTAACATCCTTACTTTTTGTGCAGATCCTCCCATAATAAAGGATAGCATTCTATTCGCCTTAATTACTACCACATCTAACTTGTTGCGATTCACACATTAGATTACCTAGACCCCTCTACACCTTGGAATTCTGCAGTCATTCTTCTTTTACGTAATACTGTGCCATATCAACATCTTATCAATACTTTTAAGAACATGAGAACATGGGTGGCTCAGAACGCAAATTTGAAGAACAACATCTTATCTTCCACCTGAGCACCTTACAGCCCAGAGGACTCAACACTAAGCTCTCTAATTTCAAATAACCTTCACACCCGTCTCCCTGACTTCCTTTCCAGCCCCACCATGTCCCTTCCATTTCACCTTCTGACTCTACCTTCCAGCCACCAACCAGGTTCATCCCTCCCATCGACCAACTAAGTCATACCTACTACCAGTGTCCACCCATCACCACCATTCCACTATCTGCCTCCCGCACCTTTATCTGCAGCTCCCCCTACCCCCACATCCAGTCCTGAAGAAGGGTAATACCCGAAATGTTGACTTCTCCTTGCCTTCAGATGCTGCCTGACTTGCTATGTTCTTCCAGCCTCCTGTTTACCTTCTGTTAACTCCACTCACTTTCTTCTGGTCAAACATGTGGCCATGGGTACCCACATGGGCCCCTGTTATGCTTGCCTTTCTGGGGTACTTGGAACAATCCTTCTTTGGACCAGTCCTACTCCAATCTCCACCCACAACTCTTTCTCCGATATATTGATGATATCGGCAGTGCTGCTTCTCTCTCTCAACTGGAATTGAAACGTTTATCCATTTCACTTTAAAACTGCACTCCCTTCTCACCTATACCTGGTCCCATTGCGGACTCCTCTACAAATCCACCAACTCCCACAGTTACCGTGATTACATATCGTTACAAACTACTTCCTGTAATGACTCTATTCCATTCTCCCAGTTCCTCCATCTCATCTGGTCTGAAGATGCCAACTTCGACAAGGGAACCTCCAAGTTGTCCACCTCCTTCCTCAAGCAAGGATTTTGTAGCACCATCATTGACAAGGCCCTCAGCCGGGTCCAAACCATCTCCCACACTTCAGCCCTCACCCCATCTCTTCCCTCCACCAGCGATAGGGTTCTCCTTGTCCTCACCAACCACTGCAGTAGCATCCAAATCCATAGGATCATTAGCCACCATTTCTGCTACTTTCAGCAGGATGCCACCACCAGATACACATTCCCCTCCTCTCAGTCTCCCGCAAAGACCATTCCCTCCAGAACACCCTGGTCCATTCAGCTTTCACTCCCAACACATCCCGATAGCACATTCCCTCACAATCACAGAATGTGTAATACCTGCCTGTTTACTACCTCCCTCCTCACTATCCAAGGCCCCAAACACACCTTCCAGGTGAAGTACCGCTTTACAGTCACTTCACTCAATCTAGTCTACTGTATTTGCTGTTCACAATGTGGTCTCTTCTACGTTGGGGAAATGAAGCACAGACTGAGTGAACATTTTGCAGAACACCTACATTCTGTCTGCAAAAAAGACCGAGCTTCCAGTTGCCTGCCACTTCAACACAGTACTATGTTCCCTGGCCAAAGCCTTGGTCTCAGGCTTGCTGCAGTGAAGCTTAGCCTAACATGGAAGAACAGTGTCTTGTTTTCTTCTTGGGAACTCTGCAACCTTCTGGACTTGATATCAAGTTCAACAATTTTAAGGCTTGAGGCATCTTCTCCCACATCCCCAAACACCAGGCCTTGTCATCACTGAAAGCACACACAACCCATTAGCAGCTATTCCTTCCCCCAGACTGATCTTTACCAACTCCTTTGTCTGTCCAATTGTTTTTCTCTCTAACTCTCTCCTATCTTCAACATAATTACCAACCTTTTCCTAGTTACCATCAGTTCTGAAGAAGGGTCACTGGATGCAAAACGTTAGCTGATTTCTCTCCACGGATGCTGAGTTTTTATTTCTTTTTTGTTTCTGATTTTTAGCACGCACAATTCTTTGCTTTTTCTCCCCCCCGTTTCCTGTCCCATTTCTATTAGGCACAAGTACGGAGTGTGACGGAGTACCTGCCATTTGACTGGATGAGTACAGTACCGAAGCTCAAGAAGTTCCACATCATACAGGGCAAAAGCAGCCCACTTGACCAGCACTATATTCACAAGCATTCACACCCTCCACTACTGATGTACACTTGTGTCAAACTGAAAATTTCCCATTTCAGCTACCTGATCTGTTGTGTATTAACCTGCATTCCATTGATACTGTTATATATTATTCCAAATGCACTAGCCCTTTTCTTATTTAATGTACTATGTGGCACTTTACTGAAGGCCATTTGGAGCTCCAAATACACTACCTCTACTGGCTCACCTTTGTATATCCTACTATTCACATCCTCATAAAACTCAATTTGTCAAATATGATTTCCTTTCATAAATTTATGTTGACTATCCAACAGGTCTCCGATTTCTTGTTAACATGTTAAGATTTCTTTAATAATAGATCTCTACATTTTCTGAAAACTGATATCAGGTTCATTTATCTTTAGTTCTCTTCATCCTCTCCAACTTTCTTGAATACCAGCAGTTGAAGATAGGTCTATTTCAGATCCTCATGCTAAATATTCTGTTAAATTGGATTAGCAAGAGCATAAGCATTTTCCACACACCGCCCCCCACCCCACAGCATTACTCTCCCCAGCAAACTTCAGTCCCTTTGCTTTTGCAATGCATACCATTGTCTGGTTTACGAACCTAAACTCGGAGACTATTTTTAAATGATGGTTCAATAAATGTACAGGACTGTGTTTTAGCATTTCACTTTTGGTATTTTACCTTCGTGAGAAGCACAAAAAAAAACACAAGCATGAACAATAAGGATGTACTAGGGCAAAACAATAACAAAATAGTTATCTAAAATTAAAAGCAATGGATCAAGTCCACATCTAGAAGCTGATTTATGCATTGTCCATTAAAACTAGGCTCTCACCTGAGCTCCAGCTGGTGTGCTTACAAAAGGAAAAATAAAAATAACTTATTCCTGATGAAACATTTATCCAACCACAGTGGTATCAATTATTACTGAATCTCAATAGAATCACCACCCATTTATTTTCAGAGGTCTGTGCAAACATCTTTTAACTCCCTAATCCCAAGGTGCCCGTATCATCCAGAGGGTAAAGCAAGCATTTAACATTATTCTAGATGTCTTATGTTTGACTAAGTTTATCCTGGTGTTACTACACTGAAACCACAGCTAGTTTAAAATCAATTGAGTGAAATATCAATATACTCAAACGTCTACAGTTGAGAATTTTTAAATTCCATATTTAGAGATAAAGTAAGCTGACATGTCTTACCATTCAAGGACATTTTCTGAAGCAGACGATCTGCCAGTTCTTGCGGAAACACCACCGCTTCCTTGAGACAGAATGAGCCATCTGTCCTCTCCCAACAAAATTTATTCAAGTTCAGCCTCAAGAAATCTAAGCATATATCGGTTAATGAAAGGGGAGAGAAATCTTCCTGTTGGTAGAAGATAAAGAAAGTGAATGAGAAAATCTTTTAATCTAAAAAAATATACAAAATCTGTACAGTGACTTGCAAATCTTGCAAGAGCTCTTTAGAAACCACGACATTTAGGACTGAATTTTAATCCCTCTCCTTCACTCAAGACAAAAAAAAAAAATGTAAATATGAAACTTACGCAGTGTTCATGGTCCCCTATAATATTAGTACTCACTGAAGCCCTCATTTCGCATGATAATTGAATCTTTTCAATAAATTACTGTCTTGTAATTACTCCTTCTGATGAATCACCTTCCTCTAAGGTTTCAGCAGCATGATCTTCCCCAGATGTTAAATAACATTACAAAACTGTAATAAATTTACAGTTGTAGACTTATCTAAATAGCTGCACTCAACATGTTGAGGACACTAAAATACTTAAAAAGGAGGCTGCAGATTGGTAGCTGGTAGTCATGTAAATCGAGATTTTATAAAATGAAAACAGAAGAAGCAGTAATTCTGAGGCAATGTTGGCAAATTTTCATATTCATTATTCACCTTGTAATTGCGCTTGTAAAATGTAAGAAAAGTTCCTGCATACATTCCAAAACAATTATACTATTTTGCACTGTCATTGCTGTAAAAATATTCTGGACATAGACATAAAACAAGAACATGAAATATGACTGAAAATAAGAACATAAGAACTAGGAGCAGGAGTAGGCCGTCTGGCCCTTCGAGCCTGCTCCGCCATTCAATAAGATCATGGCTGATCCTTTCGTGGACTCAGATCCACTTACCCGTGTTCTCACCATATCCCTTAATTCCTTTATTGTTCAAAAAAAATCTACTTTTTTTTTTTTAAAAAAACATTTACTGAAGTAGCGTCAACTACTTCACTGGGCAAGGAATTCCATAGATTAACAACCCTCTGGGTGAAGAAATTCCTTCTCAGTTCAGTCCTAAATCTGCTCCCACTAATCTTGAGGCTAAGCCCTCTTGTCCTAGCTTCACCTGCCAGTGGAAACATCCTCTCTACTTCTATCTTATCTATTCCCTTCATAATTTTATATGTTTCTATAAGATCCCCCATCAATCTTCTGAATTCCAATGAATATAATCCCAATCTACTCAGTCTCTCCTCATAAGCCAACCCCCTCAACTCCGAAATCAAACTTGTGAACCTCCTTTGCACCCCCTCCAGTGCCAGTACATCCTTTCTCAAGTAAGGAGACCAAAACTGCACACAGTACTCCAGGTGTGGCCTCACCAGCACCTTGTACAGCTGCAACATAACCTCTCTGCTTCTTATTTCAATCCCTTTAGCAATGAAGGACAAAATTCCATTTGCCTTCCTATCTCACACAATCTTTTGCAAAATAATAATTTGAAATCTTCTACATCTTAGCATTACAGTACCAATTTCAGTGAAAGTTAGGAGACAAAATTTCCAAGAGAGAATTATTTAATGCAAATTAAATTAGAATACAATATTTATCCAATTGATACAACAGGAAAGGTAATAGCAAAAATAAAGGTTATTTCAAAAAGTCTCAAAATTAAATTGAGGAAATTAGGCTACACACTCATAACTACTAGTTTTCAATGCTAAAGAGGATGATCGGCAGTAAATAAAGACTTGTCCATTTACAATTAAGTGTTAGAAATTCACTTAAATGTGAATAGACAAGGCACAACTTATTCTGACACATTTAGTAATTGCACACGTGCAGTTGTTAGGATTTGCTGTCTGATTCAATCTTTCTCAATGGTTAACACTGAGCCTCTCTGTCAACCTCAAAGCAATACTTGTACCATTGCAGAAAAATCAGAGTTAAAGTTTTGGGTCCAACAACAACACTTTTTTCAGAACCCTTCTGAAGTTCTAAAGGGTCACTGGACCCCAAGCTTTAACTCTGCATTCTCTCCACAGACCTGCTCAGATTTTCCAGCAATTTCTGTTTTTGTTTTTGTTTCTGATTTCCAGCATCCATGATTCATTTTATTTATTTGTACCATTGGTTTTCTTTTAAAAGTAGGAGATGTACATATAAAAAAGACTGAATTTTAATGAATATTACTATTTTCTATACCATGGATTGCTGACAGCAGCATGTGCACCTATCCCTGACAAACAACAAATTCAGAGATCCTTTGTATTTAAAGCATTCTAAAAGAGAAAAATAGACATAGGATGTAGCCCATCGACATGGTTATATGTAGTATGGTTTCAGAAAAGACTTTTAAAAAAGTAGAACTTTAAAAAATTCATTCATAGAATTTGGACTCCACTGGCTGGGCCAACATTTACTGTCCATTGCTAGATGCCCCTGAGAAGACGGTAGGGAGTTGTCTTGAACCACAGCAGTCCATTTGGTATTGGGCCAACAGTATTTTGACCCAACACTGATGAAACAGCAATTATATTCAAAATCAAGATGATGAGTGGCTTAGAGGGGAACTTGCAGGCGATGATGTTCCTGTGTATCTGCTTTACCGATCATTCTAGATAGTAACGGACATGAGTATAGAACATGTTGCCTAACGAACCTTGGTGAATTTCCACAGTGCTGCTACTGAACATCAACGTTGGGAGAGTGAATGTTTATGGATGCGGTGTCAATCAAGCAGGTTGCATTGTCCTGATGGTGTCGAGTATTGTATACTCATCCAGGCAAGTGAGAGTATTCCATCACTCTCTCAACTTGCTTCTTGTAGATGGTAGTCAGGCTTTGGGAGTCCAAAGAAGAGTTAGCTGCTACAGGATTCCTAGCTTTTGGAGCCACATGATTGTGATAGCTAGTCCAGTTCAGTTTCTGGTCAAAGGTAACCCTGCTCATAATGGACATTTAAGCAATGGCAATGCTCTTGAATGTCAAGGGGCAATGGTTAAATGCTCTCTTGTTGGAAATGCTGACTACTTAGCACTGTGTGGCACAAATGTTCCATCATTTGTCAGCCCAAGACTGGAAATCAAACTTCAACCAGATTGTCATTCTACTTCTTTCTTCTCTCTCCAAAATATCTCAATATTTTCCATTCTTATCCAATATGCAACATTTCTTTCCAATGCCATTATACTCTAAAATTTTCCAGCAAAATTAAACTGGTAGCAGTTTTATAATCCCACACGTCACATGTTGCAATACTGTGTTTTAGCCTTTATACTGATTTACTAAAGCCTTGCTCCTATGATTTCTTTGTCTAACCAACAATTACTTTCACTTCAGTTATGTTCCGGTTTACAATGAATACATTTGATTTTAGTCAACTGCTTCATGTTCCCCTTGTTAAACTGTTTGCTGAAAGTGAATGTTCACATTAATTTCACCCTTCGCTTTTGGCTGATCCTGGTGGACTTTAAACACTCCATCTGTCAACTTTAGTTCAAATATGCAAGGTATACAATGAACAATAAATTAAAAAAAACACTATTTAATAAATTCAGAAATTATAACACAAGGAATAGCCAAACAAAGAAAGAGAAAAAAAATGAAGTGCAGCACAACCTGATGAAATAAAACTACTAATGCTTTCAAATAGACTTTGCAACGATAATGTAAATATGATTTGAATCCAGAGTTAGGCCATTAAAGGTGGAGCGAGCTTCTCTGAAGCAGACAGCCTCACTTGGCTTCAGAATCAGTTTGGCATTGATAGCCAATTCACACTATATTTAGCAGAACTGTGATCACAAACTATTTTTTGAAAAGGTAATCTTAGCACTGTGAACAAATATCAATGTAGAACTTCCCTTACAACTCTGTTGGACAATTACCCATTATCTAAATTTAGACATTTCAAATTGCTCAAAATACTTCTAGCTTGAACTCTTGCATTGCCATAAGTGTATACATAGATCTAATAACTTGTTTTGAAAAGTGTTATATCATCACAGGGCCAAATAGCCTACTCCTGCTGCTTTGAGCCTGCTCAACTATTCAGCTCCAATCTCTTGCTTGCACCTCACAACCCATGACTCCCTTGCCATCCAAAAAAAAAAATGAGAACCGTTGCTTTTAAATTTTGTCCCCTGGTTTCAGTCTCCTTCAGAAGAGGAAACATGCTCTTGTATCCACCTTATTCAATTCCTTCACGATGTTATTTTTTAATAAGCTCACCTCATTCTTCCAATATATGTACAGCTAATCTGTTCAACTTTTATACACAAAATAAGCCCTTCACTCCATGTAAGAGAAAACTGAAGTTAAAATGTTATAATATTATAAATAATAAATGATAATGTCAGGTTGAATTTTATCTACTTATACCACTTCTTTTTCCATGATTTCTACACCCTCCCAACCAAAAGCATACTGAACAATCGGAAACAAAAGATGACCACAAGGCCAGAAAGTACCATTTCACATCCTCTTATGCATTTTATCATCTATATATTATCTTATATAATTATTCATCACAACGTTGGTGAAATTTCTTGGGAGAGTAGATTTGATATAGCTACACAATATCATCAGAAGTCTGGACAGAATGGGGTGAAACTGCTCCCACTGTTGAAAGGAGGTCATAAATTTAATGCAAGTGCCAAAAGAAGCAAAAAAAATGTGGTTGAGATAAAAAAAAATCATGCAGAGAGTGGTTGGGGTCTGGAATGGACTGTCTGAGAGTCTGGTGGACGTAGGTTCAATCGAGTTATTCAAAAAGGGGCATAGACTGTTATTTGAAAAGGATGAATGTGTAAGAGCCAGAGGAATGGCACTAAATGAAACGCTCATGCACAGGGAGTACTATGGGCTAAACGGCTTCCTTCTGAGCTGTAACGATTCTGTGAAATAAGCAAGACGATTATAACAATTGACTATTTTTGTACACCTGTGCGACTGGTGCCAAGAAATCCTGCTACTATTGCCGGCTACATGATTGGCACATTCACAAGTTTAGAAGTGGTACAGAATGGCTTTAGTTTCACAATTATAGTGCGACAGTAGTTCAAAATGTAATAACATACGGTCGAAGACTGACAATTGTACGAAACCAATGAACAACACGGACATTTTAAGCACAATATTAGAAAAAAGCTTAATCAGGAGAATCAAACAGTTCTACGAAGGGAATTCAACAGTATTTGTCGTTGTAATTTGTACTCGTTAACTCCAATTCAGTGAAAGCTGTAAATTAACTCACCGGTTCACACTGATGGTGTGTTCCATGAAATTCATTTTCGCATGTATTTCATTTAGGTACCAAAGGAAAAACTGAGGTGCAAATTGGGAGATATTCTGTGCGTGTACATTGTAAAATAATTCTAATAGTAGACAAAACGAGTACGAAAATAACCATTTATCCAAGAGAACTATCCTCAAATCATTGATTAACAAAACTAACATCCTTTCGGAAAAACGGATCTTTCAATCGATTAAAATTGTGGCCCAACCAATTCAGACGTCATTTTTTAAAAAAGCCGAAGTGAAGCCAATCAAAGCAACTATTAGGGAGCCGAGCTTTACCAAACCGAGGACGGTGTCGGCTGACGAGCAGCAACATTCAACATTCAACATTCCGAAAATCGTTAAATTTAAACAGCACAACGTTCTCTTACCATGGCGACAAGTGGCGGCCGCGGGACTAACGAAGCTTCCGAAGGAATAAAAACATGAACATGACTGGAAGAAAACAACGACCCGGCGAAGATTTATTCACGCAGGGCGGCGGACCTTACGGGGAAGCAGGTCATTTCGCATCCTAACTGTCGAAAGTATTTGTTTTTTTTTGTTTCAGATTCCTCTAAACAACAGCAGCAACCACAGGAATTTTATGTTTGTTTTGTCTATGCATACGCCATGTAAATAATTCCAGAAACCCTATCACCACCCGGAAACACTTCCCGCGATGACATTTAACCCCGCCTTAGCACCCCCTAGAAACCCATTGGCTATCCCACATACCCGGTTCCGGCCCATTCTTTCCAGCTATTGGTTGGAACAAATGTCATTCAAAACGAATCGCCACTATTGGCAGTTCCCTTGGCGGGTCAATGAGGTTTGACGGCGGTGCCCAGAGACGGAGAGGGTTGGACAACGTGAGGCGGAACGAAGTGGTTTGTGATGCACTGTCGGTGAATGAGGGATTTCCGGTGTTCATTGCCGAGGAAGGCGGGAAGCATAGAATTGAATAGGTGAAGGGACAGAACAACCGAACCGGAGGCTTTATCCGTGTTGGCTGTTGGCCTTGGAGTTAAGACACGGCTCCGATTAAGGCGCTGAACGTCCTGTGGCTGATGAGCGATGGCTGGACTTATCAATTTCCAGAATGAAGCAGAAGTGAGGG